CGGCCCGCATCGGGATGGGGCTGCTGGTTGCATGTACGGGAGAGGTACAGCTTGGGAACGCTTCCTGCGAGATCCATAAAGAGGTCTTTAAGCAGATCTTAAAGATCGGTACGTTTTTTCCATGCTTTCCAAAAAACCAACCAAACCCAACCCCATAATCATTATCTTCACTGGCATTTTGGATGGAGCCTCCCAGAAACACATTTCTTAATTAACATGAAACATACCTTTGAGAGCACAGACACTACATTGATTTCTACTCGCAAATCCACAGCGATCTCAAACCCCAGGACGTCCCCAGGGCTTCACAGCCTGGGCATACTCCAGCTCCGAGGACAAAACCAGCATTGACATGTGTAAATTCCTTTTTCACATCCTCCGCATTCTTGGTCCAGATCCTACCTGGCCCCTTAAGTATGTCATGCTATATTTAACCCCTTAACAGGAACCTTTATTTGGCTCCGGTGGTTTGCATGGCTGTGCACACACAGGCATTTACTGTTAGCAGCTGTAGAGTGGTTTGTAAAGTCATGATAAGTTTTACTACTTACATCTTGTGGGGTACATGCAAAGAACAAAACTGAGAAGCTGCCAATCAGTTTAAGTCCCAAACTTCAGCCTGTTAGAACATGTTAATATATAAACTTTTCTTTCTGTTCATGTCAGATTTTTGTTTAAATCCTATTTCAAACACACTGGTGCACACGTGAGTGTGACCTGCTCCTTAAGTGTGATTGAGATCTTTGAATTTATTTTGGAAGTGGTTTTATACCACCTCCAGCCTCACGCTGGTTCCCTTGGGGAGAGCTTTGTGTGGATCCCAGCAGCCAGAGCAGAGACTCCCTACAGGATACACCTGCAGACAGAAGGATAACGCAGGCAATCAGAAAGAAAGCAAAAAGACAGGAGGACATGTTGCTGACCTCCAGGATGCTAAGAGCCACTGGCTTCTTGAGGCTTTTGAGAGTGGAGAGGGATGGGAATAGGAGGGAGGGGGGATGGCAGATTCAGCTCTAACCAAGTGGCTGCATTTGCCACATACAAGACAAAGTTTCCTTCGTTTTATTACTCCCATCATCTAAATTCTGCTTTGTAAAATGTGGTAAGTGCTTCGTTGTCATAAAGCATCAAAGTTGATCTCCAGGTGAAGACACTGTGAAAGCTTAGAGTTACTTTTCCAAGCTGCCTTCAAAATCAGAAGGTGACACTGGACTTGCAGATGTTTAGGAAGCAGCTGTAAAGATTGCATCTAGGGTCATTCATAACAACACTGAGGCAATTTAGGAGTTATCTTTATTTTAAACCTTTACATTCTCCCATAACTGACAGGGATAATAGAGTCCCAGCCCCAGCTCAGCCCCTACCAGGGGAGGCCACATATGCTGGCCTGGTTTTATGGACCGTATCCAAAAGGAGTCCTAGACAGAGTGAAACATGAGACTGAATCAAACTTAAAACAGGGGAATTTCAGGTTAGATATAAGGAAGAAGTTCTTTACTGTGAGGGTGGTGAGGCACTGGAATAGGTTGCCCAAGGAAGTTGTGAATGCTCCAACCCTGGAGGGGTTCAAGGCCAGGTTGGACAGAGCCTTGGGTGACGTGGTTTAGTGCAAGGTGTCCCTGCCCATGGCAGGGGGGTTGGAACTAGATGGTCTTAAGGTCCTTTCCAACCCAAAGCATTCTATGATTCTATGAATCTGTTTAACTGAGGAACCATAAATCTTTAGCACCTCAGACTTTCCTGGGCGAAGGTAAGAGAAGAAGAAATTTGTCTCTAGCTGTCAGTGTAAATTTTTCATTAAAATGCTGTAAGGCTTTTTTAAGGCCAAGAGTAAACTGCTGGTGCAGCACTTTTAACAGAGTTGCACAAGAGAATCACAAACCCCCTCTGCAGATTGTGGTCCTCCTGCAAATACAAACCACACTGCAGCTTCCCTCATTGAAAATGGGATAAGAGCAAATACGCTGACAAGGAAAATACGAGTCTGTACAACTTCACATCCAATTTAAACAATGTTGACATCCATTACAAGCTGGGAAGCATGTTCATATTCAAGAGGAATCTATTTTCCTGCACCTCAGCAGAACATCCTAAGAGATAAATAGGGTTTGGACTCCTTCAGAGTGGGATGCTTCTGCTCTCCTTTGGGAATTATGCCAGCATAAGCATCGATTTCTAAAACAGGACCTAGAAGGTTTTTAAGTTGGAGTGAGCCGGGATGTGGACTCACCCCGCATTGGTTCTGAAGTAAAACTCCCTGGAACAGGGACCTCAGGAGGTCTGTAGTCCCACCTGCTGCTCAGAGCAGGGACTGCTGCGGGGTCAGAGCTGGTTGTTCAGGGCTTTATCCGGTCAGGCCCTGAGAACTTCCAAGGATGGAGACTGCACCACCTCTCTGGGCAACCTGCTCCACTGACAGCCTGCCCCGAGGGTGAGGTGTTGCAGTAACGTGGTGTTGGTTGTTGGAGGGTTATCAAATGCCTACAGAAATAGGAGCTGAGCAGGGATCTGACAGTCAGAGTGACCCATTGCCTGGTGTAGGAGGAAGGCAATAAGCAATTACTGACATGTGCTGCTGCTCTTCTGTTGATTCCAGGTGTACAATGTTCACTACACTATGAGCATTAATGGAAAAGTACAAGATGGATCAATGGAAATAGATGCTGGAAACAACTTAGAGACATTCAAAACTGGAAGTGGGAGTGAAGAAGCTGTTGAAGTTCATGATTTTCAGATAGTAAGTACCACCACCTTCAGATTTTAAGTCCTTCACATAACATGCTCCAGCACTGGACCCTACCCTGCCCTGACTTCTCTGCCCTGTCAGTCTCAGGTTCCAGCCCCCAGCTACCCACACAAACATCCTTGCTCTCCCAGCTTGCTTTCACAGCAAGACAAGCAGTTTCCTTCAAAACAAGGTCTACGATCCTTTGGGAATAGGCCGTGCCAGGTCCCGCTCCAGTAAGCAGGATGGATTAGGCTTTATCAGGTTTGGCTCCACCTAATACTCTGCATTTTCAAACCACGAAACAGAGCTACATGTGCCTTTGGGGTCTTGACAGAAAAATGTTCTGGCAGGCTGTGACACAGCCCTTGCATGATTTCACATAACCACAGAATGGTTTGGGTTGGGAGGGACCTTAAAGATCATCTAGTTCCAACCCCCTGCCATGGGCAGGGACACCTTCCACTAGAGCAGGTTGCTCCAAGCCCCTCTGTCCAACCTGGCCTTGAACACTGCCAGGGATGGGGCAGCCACAGCTTCTCTGGGCACCCTGTGCCAGCACCTCATCATGCTCACAGCGAAGAATTTCTTCCTAGTATCTAATCTAAATCTACTCTCAGTTTAAAGTCACTATCTCCTGTCCTGTCACTACATGGCCTTGTAAAATGTCCCTCTCCAACTTCCTTGTAGGCTCCCTTTAGGTATTTCATATTATCTGAACTGTAAATACCACCTCCCCCAAAACATCACAATTTTAGGAGAGTAAGGTCAACACAGTAAGCCAAGTAGACACCAAGGAGAGACCACCATGCAGTGCTGGACCTAGGCAGCTTCTTCTTGTCCAAGATAAGGATGGGAGCTGCTCTTCATGGCTTGGCCTGGGTTCATCCTCAGGGGAGAGGATGGAGGCATTTAGCATAGCTTATGCATCCATGCACCAAGCGCATGGTGTTGGGCCACTTGGGCTGACTGCAAACACATCTGGGTACCCCAGCAACTTGGCTGTGGCTGCTCTGTGCAGAGCCTTGACTAATGGATGCCAAATCTCAGCACAGCTGAACAGCTGGGATAGAGTGGGACAGAGTGGTTCACTGAGCTGCACCACTTCTGAGCTACTAAAGGCACAGCTATTGATGTTGCAGAAACCTACTTATAGAGCCCAGATCCTGCAATTAATATTCCTAGGTGCGAAACACTCAACTTCAGTTAAGATCAGTGTTAAGTCCCCTGTAAGTCAAAGCATCACCTAAAATAAAGATGCTGTTGCTAGGAAGCCTTACCCAGGGCTTCTGGAGCAGCCACCTTTCCCTTGCTGACTCTAGAAAGGCAAGGAAATTCAGCTCCTTGGCTTCTCAGCAAGTACAAACAAATCCATGCCAGGAGACCCAGGACCCCAACTTTCCCAACAGCTGCATTTCAGCCTTCATGAAACTCCCATTAACATCACCATAGCAACATTATTAGCAGCTGGATAAGAACACTGACAACTAGCTCTTCTCATTTGCCTTCACCATTCCACATCTGCACAAAAACACCAGCCCACTGGAGAGATGCTGAATTGGTACCCAGGTTGGACAGGGCTAGAAGTAACCTTGTTTGGTGGAAGGTGTCCCTGCCTATGGCAGGGGGTTGGAACTAGCTGAGTTTTAAAGTCCCTTCAACCCACACCATTCTGTGATTCTATGATATTGCCTCCATGCATGGTGTTGGTAAACTGCTGCCTGTCACAACCAGGTCAGAAATCAGCTCCCAGCACCAACCAGCCAACATCACCATCCCAGGGATGGTGCCACTTGTAATTACAACAGGCCAGAGACAGGCTTAACGGGAGAGAGCAGAGGGATGCTGCCGGTTGGGTATTGAGCCAAGAATGCACATGAAGGAGAAAGAAATTGGAAAGATGGGCTTCCAACAGCGAAGTACTGACATTAGCAGCTTTGGATTGACTGGCAGCACTTGAACCATTGCAAGGTCAGTGAAGACTGGGATTTGGCAATATTAGTATACTCTTAGCATACTCGATACATCACAAAGTCTCATTCCCTTGTGCTCTCACCCCTGCACAGCCATTCCCTCTCTCACTGCTTTAGAATGAGTCATTTTGTTTTGATGGGTGCCTACCCAGCCGTATAGGACTTGCAGGCACACAGGATAAGACTCAGGTGCCTCAGCAGCATCCGTCTCAAGCTGCACTAGAAGCCTATGGTATCCAGGCTGTCCACACAAGGCAGGCGAGAGGGGTCACGATGACACCCATGCCGCCCTGTCCTGGCAGCTAGAGGTTGGGCAGAAAAGCAGCACACCTCAAATGGCACTACATAATAGTACTTAGGTGTCTGAATAGAGCTTGTGCAACCCTGGAAAAACATAGAAGTTTTGCCATCTACAATGAGGCATCTAAATTCCTAACAAAAAAGAGCTCTTTCATGGGTACCCAAAAACCTACGGCAGAAGCACAGAAACTACAAACAAGGTAGTTGATGCCCAAGGTGCTGGCACAGGGATGGCAGGTACAACCCAGGACTTGCAGGAGAGCTGCAGCCCTCTGGAGCTGCTGGGATACCTTTCTCTTGCTTAGAAGCAGACTTCCATCTAGGTTCAGGCAACTGCATTTTACCCTGGTAGGCCAGATGAAGGAAGTCCCACACACAGATTTCCGTACCAAATTCCCCATCATGAGCTTCCCCTTGCTGTCACAGCCACTTATGTGTATAAATTGGACCAAGCTGCCCCCACATTCCTGTAAATCTGTGTCATCGGGGTACTGCACCACCAGCTAACACAATTTGAGGCTGCCTACGGTAGGTGTTAAAGTTACAGTTCAAAGCATGTCAACTAATTCTTTAACAGAACTACTCCAAGTAGCCTACAGCGGGCATGGAAGCACTTACATAAAACACCCCCATCTTTCAGAAATCAAGTGAAAACTTCTAGCCCCATTTGACTAAAGTCATAAAGCTGAAACGGCGAGGGAAGAGCATTTTACTGCATCTGGGCTTAAGTCAGATTTAAACCTTCAGACTAAAAAGTCAGTGGGAATTTTAGCAGTGCTTGAATGCTTCCTTGGGGGCGGTGGGGAGCTGCAGGGCTGTGCACCACCCCGCTGCCTTCTGCTTTTACAGGGCATAACTGGGATCCGCTTTGCTGAAGGAGAAAAGTGTTACATAAAAGCCCAGCCAAAAGCACACGTCCCCGAAGTTGATGCTATGACTAAAGCGAGCCTCTCATCCGACCTGGTAAGGGGTTTATTTAAAAACAAATAGTTGTATAGAGAGAGTCTTGAAATGGCACTTAAATACAGACAAAGATTACACTTGAAAGCCACTGCAGATAGTGGTAGGGTTGTTGAGGGTAGGGTGGGATAGGTGAGGGTTCACTGTTTGCAAGGGGCTTCTGAAATGTAAGGAAAGGAAGACTGATGTCAGACGTGTCACTGTGCCCAAGGCATCGTGAGAGGCTGCAGATTAGTGAGTGGGGGAAGCCAATAGACCAGTTTCCACCAGATCCACTGGAGATCTCAGGGACAAGAGCGTCTGCCTTAGATCAGCCTGTGCACAAGGCTGGGAGAACGTGAAAGAAACAGCTGCTTTAGTCAATACAAGGAAGGACTGTGGTAGATACCAGGAAATTTTTATCAGCACTCTTGAGCAAAAGCAGGGACTCCATCACTCAAGTCCTCTATAATAGTCAATAAAGGTGAATTTTGGAAAATATTATTGCAAAACTTCAGCTAACTCAGAAGAAATAATAGTTACCAAAAATGAAGAATTTGCCTTCTTCGATGGCATCAGATTTCATTTTAGAACACGGTGTTAACCAGGTTTCATGGAATCTGCATTGCAACCACCACAAAAGCTGTGGCTCTCACCCAGATACCACCAAACCCTCTCCTTACCACACATCTGTCAAAAAGCCTATTGCTTTAGGTGCACACAGCCTGAGTTTCCCAGAGCTCGGACCCCCAGGCCCATTGCTCACTCAGGAGTGGCTCCAGTCACTTCACTACAGCTAAGCCTGGATGCTGGCAGGGGCTCAGTCACTGTGAGGAGAGCACAGGAGCACCTTCCTGGTGGGAAGTGGGTTGCTCCACTCCCGAGAAAACAAAAGCAGATACAATTAGCTGGGAGACAGGCACCACTAAGGCTGCACCTACCTGCAATGGTGCCATGACTACTGAACATCTACTTTAAAATGCAGGGGGAAAAGGTCACTCTAAATCCAAACAGTAGGGCACCAGCAATGTTACGAAGCCCCCTGAAACTGGTGCTTTCCCATGACAGGGAAGAGATCTTGCCAAATTGCAGGCAGAGGCCCGTATCTTTCCTGGTTTGCTTTATTTTAAAGTCAGGCTGGGCTTCTTGACTTCATTAGCACTACTGTCTGAAGACAAGGTTTCAATTTGTCATCTTTTTATAAGAATGAAGTCACAGTCCTGAAGACATTATCCTTAAATAGTCACAAAGGTATTTCTAACCTTCTACCTGGTGACAGTAAACCTGTTCCCTTGTCCTACTTTCTGTGCATCAGCTACACAACCTCTGCAATAAACTGTATGCACTGAAGCCAAAACAAGCAGCCAACTAAGTGCTACTGTTGGGATATTATCCCTTCCCTGTTGCTTGACTTTCCAGGTCAGATGTATGATGGGAATGACTAAGTAGTATTTGTTTTTCCAGAGCAAGTCCCCTCTCTGATATGCATGTATTTAGGAGAAAGTATGCATATGCCATTTTCTTACAACACACATCATAACCAACACTGCCTACAAAAACAGTTGATTAAAATAAGCTTTCATAGCTACCCAAAACTCTGGCTGCTCACAAGTCAGGATCATCTCAAACAGAAACAAAGGATATTTTTATTTCTGAAAACTAGATTCAGATATTTCTGATGCTGATAACAGCTTAAGTGGGAGAACATAAATAAAGAGCACTTCTCACTAGACAGATTGGATAGTGAACTTAAATGACTTGAGACCTACAAAAGAAATCAATAAACACACTAAAGAACAACAGCTCGACAGAATAAATTGATCTAGTCAGTTATGTAACAAGTTTTGATGAGGTTTAGGGAAGCAATTTAGAGTTTTAACTTTGAAATCATACCAGTTTTCATGACTGAAAAGTTGGGTTTCTTTTAATATTTCACTGTTGTTATAAAATACTTACACATTTTATGTAAAATAATACTTTGAACTAACAACTTTAAAGAATCAATCACTGGCGTTTTCCTACATTACTTTGAAGATATAAACCAAAAACCTGCAGGGTACACTTCAAAAAGGCAGGCTCCTTTAACTCACACTTGAAGCTTTTGGTCAATTGAATTGCTTTTACCAAACGAGACCTTTAATCATACCGATAACGTTGACTTAAAACTGGAAGCTGGAGCAGTTCTCAAGCTATAATCCATTCTAAAACTTCCAAACAAGATTTTTGCCCCCCTCCCTATCGTAAATCTATCTTGGGAGTACATCAAACGAGAACGGGGTATGGTAAAAGATGAGGGGTTTGTTTTTAGCTGGTGTATTTCATTGCTGCTTTGCTGAAGGTGGCAAATCTCTACAGCTTCTACCACCTGAAAAACTGGTGCTTTGGGCTGAACACTCTGTCACCCAGTCCTTGTACACAGGGCAAAAGCTTTCCGAAAGATGGGTGAAATCTTAGCCCCAGCAAAGGTGACAGTAGTTTTGCCATTCATTTCAGTGGTGGCAACCTTTACTTAGGCTTTGGCTCAGTACAATCCGTTCACACTCATGAGATACAAGGATGCTCGGTATTAGCTGCAGCGGATGATTATACAGGTTGATGCTCAAGAATCAGCAGCGAGCAGGCACATGACTGTTCACTGAGCAGCAAAGGATTTATGCTCTTCTATTTGCAGGAAGATGAAATCATGCCTGTGAGATTTGATGAAAACTCCCTTATCTGGGTGGCTGCAGACGAGCCTATCAAGCATAACAGTTTCCTAAGCCCTAAAATTTTAGAGCTTTGTGGGGATCTTCCAATTTTCTGGCTGCGACCAACATATCCCAAAGGTAACACTTCTTCTATTTGAAAAATGTGTTATCCCTCCCTGCACCTAAACGCCTTCCCCAAACTGAGTTTGCACATCTGGGAAACCAGGATCCTTTCCTCCCTTGCCCAGCCTGTTTTCTCAAGCCCTCATGGGTGAGGGCTGAGATTGCATGTTTGGAGTTTATTCACACTTATTAGACATTTTTAATACTTGTATTCCTCAGACAATTTATATAGAATCATAGAATCATAGAATAG